GTTTTTAATGACTTAAACAAGTTTGAAAAACATTTTTATGATGTAAGAAATGCAGTGAAAGGTTTTAGCCTAAAGAGCCAATGCGTGAGGGTTGGGTCGGTCTTGATTACAATTATGACCGACTCAACAATACTAAAGACTGCGGTCTTCGTTCTTGGTCTCTTTTAGCTCTTGTTCTTTATCTTCGTTCTTCGCCTTGTATATTCAATGTTTGTCTTGATCACGGCGGTTTGGCATTATCAAAACCTGTTACAAAAAAAAACGAACACGGCTTTAGTACGAAAACGTGACATGCCCGTGTTTCAACAGCTGCTCTCGTTGAAGTGATTTGAGACAACCCATATGCTCAATTTTTTAAGAGCTTGAAAGACATATGTAATGATGCATAATTCAGCATTAAGCTACATAACCATCAAGGTCTGGACCAACGAGTTTATAATACTCCTACTGCCTCACAAGTTGCTGCAATATGGGTAGAGGATAACAGTAATGGAAGTCCAGAAAGCAAACACATTCGTGTTTATGCTCACAGTGGTAGATCAAAGAACATACAATATTTTTACGGATGTTATGATCCATTACAATGCCCACTGTTGTTCGCTCATGGGGAGGTAGGTTGGCATACAGGCATTGATAGGGTGTTATCAGAATCACAACGGCATTTAGCACGACACACACAAATAACCTCTATCATGCCAGGTCTTAGCGTTGCACATACTGCTGAGGACATAATTCAAATGGAAGAAGATAATATTCAAAGTGGAAAAAAGAGAAAAATTGTTTCATGCAGAGAATATTACGCTTATAAATTTCACATACGCCATGATGATTCCAACTATTTGTTACACACCGGAAGGCTTTTACAACAGTTTATGGTTGATGTGTATGTTAAGATTGCAACCCAATGCTTAGATTATTATAGACTAAAACAGCTTGACATCAGATCTGAAACATATCAAGGCGTTGTTGATAGCATGCATATGGGTATGGTATACGGTGATGATGTT